GGATTGATGAGGAGCGTAGATGCGAATTCCTGCAGTAGATTTGGTAATGAAAAGGAATGATGCTTTTTTCCACTAGCTATTTTCGGATTTATTTAGATGTTTGAGCGACGAATCGCAAAAAAATTGCTGGGATCACATAAATTCGTAAGGAGTAGATATGTTTAAGAGATTACAGTCATAGTAAATGGCTCGGATTTTGTTATCGCACGGTGAATAAACTATAGAAGAAATAGAAAATAAGGAGATTATTGAACATACGATCTTAATTTTTTTATCAATCGTTCTCAATTCATCCGCTTTCAAGATTGCATAATTTGTCCATGTCGGATGTTTGATTGTAAGTGGTATAACATGTGCACCAACAGCCAGTCTTTTCACGTTTGATCCAATCTAAAACTGATGAGGCAATTATCAGTTGATTTTGGGGTAACTGAATGGAAAGTGGACGACCTGAATATGATGACTGAACTATGGTGGTAGGCAAATTAAGCGTATTTCGCAGGTAATAGTAAGGATTGTATGTGTAAATTGAATGTGCTCAGTTCGACCAATTATCATTGCTCATATCTGGAGATAGTTGCTCTCGATAACAGCATATGCAGTAAGTTTGACAATCGCAACGCTGGTCATCCAGCTCACTGGAATCGCACACTCACCCAGTTTAAGCGAGAACTCGAAACAACGAATATGCCAACCTTTTCAACCACTCCAAGCCCCTCAGAGCCACCGATACACGGCGGCGGAGCGATACTCGGATATCTACCATTGATTATGCCAATGTCTAGTGGATCGATAGGTGTTGAAACCCATCTGACGAGTACTTCATTGCCATGAACGTTATCAGGAACTGTTTGTTGGACGAGTTTTAGTACCTGGAACGATGGTTCTTCGCTTACGCAGGTCATTTTCAAATGGTCATCGACAGTGAGACTTTTTCAAATTTTGGACTTCGCGAAAATAATGGTGTGGTGTTGTATTAGGATCGACGATGTTCGATCGGCACATTTATCGAACAAGTCATTCTTCACTTCGATCTTCATCAGGGTTGGATTAGAGGTGAAATCGAACCCAGGAGCCCCCGAGTGCACTAGGTAAGGTCAGAGGA